CTCATAGAAGTAGAGAGTGGTGGTGATTGCTGGAGGCCGGGGTGCTTAGAAGGGAGGAGCAATGGGGAGATGATGATCAGGAAACATGCTATTATTTTATTATTTTTAACTATTTAAATATCAGGATTGGAGGAAAATACTTCAGTTCACAACAAACCTAGCCTGAAGTTAATTTTTTGTAGTATACTTTTAGATAAACATTTTGGCCAAGCTGCTAGAAAATTAATGATAAGATAACTATACTTTGGGTAATGTTATTATTAACATGAAATAAAACTTGATCGTAACCTGACTTTGATAGGTCACAAGTGGGGGTTCCATGATCATTTCCCATTTCTGAGATTTAAAATACTTATTTCTGTAAAGAGATTGGTTCACAGTATAGACTTTCTGGCTTAGAATAATATGTTTTATCTCCCTTCTCTCTGCGCAAGGAATTTCTATATCAACATTTTAGTAATCTCCAGAAGCCCACACCCCTTTATCTTGTAATTCTGTAATACTTAAAATGACCCAAGTAAAGCCTCTTACATAAGTCCTTGTTTTGCTAATATCATTAATGTATTAAATGCTTTTACTGTATTCTCCCAAAAATTATAGAAGAGAGCATTAGATGAGTTCCCAGGGAAAAGACTGGATTTCCATTACATATGAAGGGTATGTTAATTTAGCCTTGTTGCTTCTACATGACTCATTCTCATGATAAATTATTTAAGAAATTTCCTGTAAAAATCTTCCAGTCATTTTATGTAAGTATTTTGTAGGCACAGAACAAGATATGGTGGACATCTTCAAATGTTGGTCTGGGATATACTAATCAAGAGGGATAAAGCCACATCATGCAGTTTTCGTTTGTCTGTCCAACAGAGCATCGCACATCTTTATGTCAGATCCTAGGTGTTATTTTTTAGAAGTTAGATCATGCATTTTATTCACATATTGGTATCTGTTAGTGCCTATAAACATGAGAAATTGAACCAAGTCAAACTCTAAAGAGTATGGAGCAATTATATTAAATTCCTGGAAAGAAAATAACATAGTTTCCTTTTGCAGAGATTTCTCCAAGATTAAACAGAAACTAGCCAATAATGAAATCCAATATCCCAAGGATAGTATTCTCATTTAGAAAGGAGGCCCTAGACTTTCAACCAGAGGGTTAAAAAAAATCAGTGATGCTTGCTTCTGACAAATTAAATAGGAATGAGGTTAAATCACTCAGACTGGGAACTATATTCCACATGGTTTTACTATGTAACAGGAGGGGGAGAAAAGGCAAGTTTGATTTATTGAAGTAGCTATGGAACCCAAATAAAAATTTTACAGCTTGAGCAAACGTCAGAACTGTAGTGAGCCAGAAAGATTCTCTGGAGGTAGATTACCTACCTTTGAAATGGATTAGTATAGCCTATTGAATACTTAGGTTAAATACTCATCTGCTTTGGCAACATTTTCCTGTGGTGTGTGCTGTTTCCATAAATACCAGACAGACTGTATAGAAGCCATGGTACGCATCTAATGACTTCTCTGACAAGAATAATTAGGACTTGCTTCCCTTCTTTCTGATGGATAACCTTTAGTGAGGTTGTTAACTGATACAGCTGGCTAAGTCTTCAAAGACTGTGGCATGGAGTTATGGCTGGCCATTCGGCTCTGTAAGCATGTGAGAGATGTGAGTGTCCTATCTGAGGAGGGCAGGCTGGCTTTGGCGATAAGGAAGGAGATGATACTGGACACCGAGACGGCATTTGATGAATATTCTATTACTGGGTATCTTGTTTTATGTGCATCTTTAGATAATAGAAGTGAATATTGGTGGAGTACTGTACAATTTTTAAAGGAGAAATGACAGGGGCTGATCATTCGACACTTACTATGCACCAGGCACATTGATGCTAAGGTCACACAGCTAGTGAAATGACCAGGCCACTATCTGAATCATAATTCAGCCTGAGGTTAAACCTGTGCTCTTAAATGGTGGGTTACCTTGCCTGCTAAGTCTATCCAGGGAGACTTGTGGGTGCTAGTCACTGCTCTTCTTCTTGTATAGATGATGGAGCAGAAAAGCCAAGTTACAGGCTAATGAGGGGTAAAACTAGGAGTAGCTCAGAGTCCTGTGTGTTTTCCATGTCCTCCCATGATAGTGATATTCCCTCACTAGTTCTATGAGCTAAATTCACATGTAAGAAGGAATCAAAGTGTCTTTTCCACTAAGTTAGCTAATGAGTCTGGGTGTGTGTGTGTGTGTGTGTGTGTGTGT